GATTATGTGCAAGATGTTCACCATAGCATTGCTTATATAACAAACAGCCAACAGGGTAAACACTGAATAATTACACAATCACATGAGCTCAGGGAAATAATAGCCATTATTTTGTAATAACTTTAAGTGGAATATGTAACCTATAACAATATTGAATCTATATTTTGTACACCTGAAACTAACATGTTGGGTAGGCTGCAAAGTTTATTTGGGTTTTTCCACAAGCTGCTGCTGCTAACTCACTTCAGTCGTCTTCGACTCTGTGCGACCCCATAGACAGCAGCCCACCAGGCTCCCCTGTCCCTGGGATTCTCCAGGCAAGAACACTGGAGTGGGTAGCCATTTCCTTCTCCAATGAATGAAAGTGAAAAGTGAAAGTGAAGTCGCTCAGTGGTGTCCGACTCTTAGCGACCTCATGGACTGCAGCCTACCAGGCTCCTCTGTCCATGGGATTTTTCCAAGCAAGAATCCTGGAGTGGGGTGCCATTGCCTTCTCCGCCACAAGCTGCTATAATGTTGTAAATCAACTATGCTTTGATAAAAAAAATTTTAAAAATATTTAAATACATTGAATATTTAATACTTAAATATTAGAAAATGCTTCAGGCCAGTATCACCCATTAGTTATCAAACTGCAGATGTTTATGTGAAACTACATGTCCACATTTTATCCAAATCAGAGTTTTAAAGTATAAAATGACCAAAATAATAAATACTTGGAAATAACATTTTTCTTCACATACTAAAAAAAGTTACATTAACTTAGTTCCCAATATTTTTATAAAACACACTAAGCATGTAATTCTATGCCTAAAAGGCAAAAACAACAGTACTGTATAAGGTTGAGGTTCTCTAACTCAGGAGCTCTCAAGCTTTCTGCACATCAGGATCAGGAGGGGTTATCCAAGCAGAATGCCAGATCTCAGCCCAAAGTGCTGACTCAGGGGGGCTGGTGCAGAACCTGGGAATGCGTATTTCAACAGATTTCCAGGTGATGCTGATGCTGCAGTTAGGAACTGCACTTTGAGAAGCACTGCTTTAGCTCAATGAAAAGTAACACACATATTTATGCTTTAAATTGGTCATATCGTCATCAGATTTACAAATATTTAGATTTTAAAAATTATTTACTAAAAGTTCTTCCTTTAAAGCAAACAATATATAATTATTCATGCTTTAAATTGGTCATATCGTCATCAGATTTACAAATATTGAGATTTTAAAAATTATTTACTAAAGTTCTTACTTTAAGGCAAACAATATATAATTACTGACAGTCATAACCAAAGTTCAACTTGGCAAGTTCTTGACACAATATAACTGGCAAAAAAATTATTATCCCGTTTTAATAGATCAGGAACTAAGGCTCAGAGTCCAAAACCTGTGGTTAAGGGACAGTGGCAGAACTCATCATCAGATTGACAATCCCCAAGATCCCACATGTCATGCGACAACCAAGCGCATGTGCCCAACTACTGAGCCTGCACTCTAGAGCCCCGGAGTCGCGACCACTGAGCCTGCGCTTAGAGCCCGGAGTCGCGACCACTGAGCCCACGGGCCCTACAGCCTGTGCTCTACAGGAGAAACCACTGCAACGAGAAGCCTGCACACCGCAACTAGGGAGTAGCCCCAGCTCGCTCCAACTAGAGAAAGCCGCGTTCATCCATGAAGACCCAGTGCGGCCAAAAATAAATCAATAAAAATAAACCTTAAAAAAAAGAAAAAGATGAGTTAGGTAAGTCTTGTCCTGAGAGCAGGAGATGCAGATGAAACACAGAACAAGGTGCTGGTAAAAAAAAGCAGAGGGCAGAAAAGTAACATCTACTTCAAGGACAAGACACACCTTTAGCTCTTGAACTGCAAACCTCACAATGTAGTTTGTTAGACTCTTGTAAAGCCTTGTATTAGACTTTGTTTCCTGCAGTCCTACTTCTCCAACCTCAATGGCTTCCCCCCTGAGATAAGAACCCTTGTTTTTAGGTGGCTCAAATACTAACTTAGGAGTTTCAGAAGTAATTATGAAGTGATTAGATAGGCTGCTCTTTCAGGATGGCAGCAAGTGTCCCTTCTTTGTCTAAAATGACACATATTTGAAAATATGCAAGGAGCCAGGATTTTTGAAAAAATGTTACAAGACAAATTAGCTATTACTACTATTTCTCTGCATTTAAACCCTAACTTAAGCTGTCTTTAAAGATGTTTAATTAACGATATTATCAATACTGACTCACTCAAGACATCTGAGTAGTCAAAGGAATTTCAGCAACCAAGTTTTGGTAGCAAAGTAACAGTCAGTCAAGGAAGCTAAGACGACTGAGGAGCAGCCAGCTAATTAGGGAAAAAGAAAACAAACAAACAAAAAAGGAGTGGAATGTCAAGAAATGGGTGTTTCAAGAAGGGTCTGGTCAGTTATGTTAGGTAAGCAACTGAGAAGTCGGGGAAGAACTAAAGTTTCACTGGGTTTACACCCCAGTCATTATATAACAAGTGACAACGCAGACCCCAGAGGTGGAATGGGCTGGGAATTATCTGAGGTGAGGAAAAGGAGACAGCAAGGATAACAGGTTGGAGCAGTGTGGCCACGAAGGGAAGAAAAGAAATTCAATAGCAACAGGATATGGATGGAAGGCTGAGAGGACTGAGTTTTTGATTTAAGGTGAGAAATAGGACCATGGAAATATCTTTTTTCTACTGATTTGCACCAATATTATGGTAATGAGGGTAAATGTCTTTTCATTCCAGCAAAAAACATTACCATATAATTTTTCAATTCCCTTGAACTGAACATAAAGATCTCTCACTTTGCTGGGTAATGAGTAAAAAGGACCAAGGTCATCTGATGATGACTCGATTGTTTTCTTAGCAACATTAATTTCTTCAGATAGGAGAGTCTCTTTGAGCTGTTTAGTCCTAGAAAATATTGGTGTTTGGGCTTTGGCATTTCCAGTCATGGTGCTTTTTAGATGATCTTTCAGACTTTTTCTCCTATTTGCATCTGAACTAGTTCTGATTTTCGAAGAGGATTCAACAGTCTGCTGGGGCTGCTCTCTATTAATGGGCAATTTCTCATTCACAGTCTTAGGAGAGGATGAGTTCCAATCCTTTTCTTCAGTAGATGGATCACCCAAATCACTGGAAGGCTTATGCAAATTTTCAAAGAATAAAACCTGAGAAGAAGGTACATCATACAAAATATCAGCTTCAGGTTCAATAGCGACATCTTCATGCCTGCTCTGGTTCCTCGTGTGCTCATCTATATTTAATTCTGTACAGTCACCTGCGGTAGGAACGTTGAGTGTGTTATGTTTATTGCTTTCTGAACAAAGACCTTCAGTGGCATGGTCTGTAGCATGGTTCCTATGTTCAGGAAGTTGCAAATACTTCTGTTCCAGATCATCAACTTGAGCTAAAAGAGAGTTCTCAGCAAAGCTATCATAGTCACCAAACATGTCCTCTTCACTGTCAATAATCTGGAAAGAAAACAAAAAGATTTATCGTGGAGTCCAGCTTCATTAAGAATAAAAGTTTCAGCTTAAAGCTCTCTTAGGTATATAATTGTATGGTCACATATGGATCACAGACCTAAATATAAATAATCCTATAAAACAGATACTCTTGTTCCATTTTACAGATGTAGATACGGAGACCCACAGACGTTAAGTGACTGACATCAACTGTACTCCTAGTGATGCTGGGATCCTAATTCTTAAGCTACCGTTAAATCCTTTAAAATGGTAGCAAGACCGACGGCCATCTACTGGGAGGGATATCATCTCACTAGGCGTTTCTGATAACCGCAGTACTGTTTCCCGTCCCATCTGCAGACACTGGCCTGCAATAAAATCATGCTTGTGCTACCGGGCACTCCAAGAAGATTGTTCTTAGAATAGAATTGAAAGGGAAAGTCTGGCTTGGGACGGTCTGTAAACAGAAGAGGTGTAATTTGGGGGTAGCAACATAGGGAAGGGATTAAGAACACAAGATTTGTAATAGGAAGTGTAGTTTCTTTACTTCTCGGTCTCGTTTCTGTTGTAAGACCTGGATAAAGCAAATAGCTTAACAAAGCCCCTAACAGGTCTGGGTACTTTTAGTACAAGGAGAAGCAAAAACTTGGAAGTATAGGTTGGTGTCATGGCATTCCTTTTATGTCTCAAGGTCTATGTTTCATAATTATATATATATCTACGGGGGCTAACAGGATTAACAGCGATAACAAAGATGAGGTAAGCCCAAGAAGGCTAGTAGATGACCTGTCAATTGCTTGCACCTGAGACTGGAACGGCCGAACTCGGGAGTTTCAAGTTCCACGCCTTTCAGTGAGCATGCGCAGTGGGGACCCGGGTCTGTATCATCACTCCAAAGCTGGGAAATAGAACGAGGAACTCATGGGAATCTGAGAGGTGATGGAGCTGTACCTCGACCGGCTGCACGTCCACGGTTTTTCGCCGCCGGCTCCCGGCCTCCATCTCCTCGTCCTCCTTCTCCTTATCGCTGGACTTAAGCTCGGTAGCGGGGCAGGCGGCAGAAACGCTGTCTAGGCTATGACGGTTTCTTTTGCGGACGGACACCCGCCTGCGAATGCGGGAACCACCTTCGTCCATGGCAGGGCCTGAGGGCCCAGCCCCAACTTCGTTTCCCCCGACCCAGCCGCCAACCCCCTAGTGGAGGGTTAAGTGCAGCAACGAGGGGAGAGTAGCAACAGGTGGAAGCTGCGCTCCCCTCTCCATCCACCTTGGGAGGACCGTTTTGGGACCGGAAGCGAAGGCACAAACCTGGGAGCCCGCCCTCTCCTCGTCGTTAAGTGTGCTGGGCTGGCGGCTCGGCAAGAGGTGGGGGCGGGGTGGGGTGAAGGGGAGGAGAAAGGGAAGGTACTGCGCAGGCGTATTGAAAACCCCACCTGCTCTTTTGATTCCTGGCAAACTGCGGAACCTTTGAACCGAGTCCTCGGGCCTCTAGGGGACGTACACCGGAAGGACTTGTCAGGACGTTTTTGGAAAGAGGAAAGGAAGGGGAGGAGCAAGGAACCATGGCTGCTCTGGTAGCAGTCTGCAGTGCGCTAGGGAAGAGAAAGTTTACACGTTTCCCAGCGGCTTTTGTCTGCCTCACAAATCCCGGGACTCGTGCAGGTAAAGTCTCCATATCCTAGGCTCTTTTGTAGCATTGCAGCCATTGGTTTAGCTCTAATTAGGTCGTTGGAGCCGTCGCTGTTAGCTAAAGAACGCCGGTGTTTAGGCAATTGTTTCTCCAAAAGAAGTAGGCAACTGTAATGGCCTGTATTTTAATTGACTAGTATTTTAAAGCTGAAGAGGGCGTGAGATGTCGTCCAGTACAGTGTTTTAACGTACGAGGAGCGATTCTCGAAAAGAGGCAGGGACTTGCCCAAGATCTTCAGGTAGACTTGGTAAGGAAGGAGCATTTTCAGAGTCATCTAGCAGCAAATCGCAGATATCCGAGGCCATGTGACACAGGCCACGGGATCTATCACTTCGGCACTTTTATCTGCTTTGTGCTTTTTTGGTAGAGTTTGTTTTCATTTTCCCTTTGGTATGACAGTGCCTTTCAGTTTGCATTAAAATCTGTCTCTACCCACGGGAAATAAATTTCAGGAACAGGTGAGAGGTTGTATGGCTAGTGGTATATATGCCCTTTTCCCAACGCCCCAGAAAGCATATTTATCCTAAGTCTACCACTGCCTCAAACCTAAAAGCCCTTTACTTTGTTAGTAATAATGAATATAAACCTTTTACATTGTGTCCCTTAGTTCATCTTGCCTCAACAGAAACACAGTCTTTCCTTAGCTGCTGAGCTAACAAAAAATACTTTGTTGCTGTTTCTGTTTAATTGCAGTGCTGTGCAGAAGTTGTTCACAATATAAACAGGTAACCAGCAATGAGGACCTGGTAAGAATTTTTTTTTCTTCCTTTTTAATAAGGCATTTGCAACTAAGACCAGATTATGTCTTAGCTTTTAAGAGTTCGGCTTAAGGACGAGGCAGTTAAGATGATAATCATTAATCTGAGTTTGAAAATTGTAATCTATTGATGAAAGTTAAGTCGCTCAGTTCTGACTCTTTGAGATACCCCATGTACACCAGGCTCCTCCGTCCATGGGATTTTCTAGGCAGGGGTACTGGAGTGGGCTGCTGTTTCCTTCTCCAGGGAAATTTATTGATGAGTGGTCACTTAAGTGAACTTTGAGGTAAGCGAATTCCTAGATTCTTAGCAAGAAGCATGACTTCTGCAACACCATATTTTTCTTTCTAGATACATGCTCTGGGAATTTAAAAAGGTAGTTTTGATGCATGCTGTAATTGCAGAAAGTCCAACAAAGGGGTTGTGCAAAGTTTATCCATACCTTGACTCCCTGTCCTCATTTCAAATTCAGTTCTATTTTTATCTTAGTCATTAAATTTTTATACCAGGACGTTAAATACCGTTTCTTCTAAACAGTAGATGTATGGTTTTTATGGATTTCAAGTACTAGCATTGGATTTAGGCAGTATAGCTTTTCTTGCTACATACAAAGACAATTTGATACTAGTTAGACCACATGAAGCACATAGAGGAGGAATAGTCATCACAGGTGAGTTGAATGCAACTTGCATTAGGAACATTTGAGGAACTGGAAGAAACAAAAGAACTCCTATAGTCCCTTTAAGCATCCATCTTGGTCATCTAATTCATACCATATTCAAGAGAGTAAGTGAAATCACTAGAGCTTCTCTTTAGGTCCCTAAATTCCATTGAAAGCTAAGGGTTCCTCAGAAAAAGGCACAATGTCCCATTTATTTGAAGTTTTTCGTGCAACTACAGGGGCTGAAGACTTCAAAGCCATTTCTAGATTCAGAATCTGTATACTGGAGACACCTAAAGTGACTTTAGGACGGAGGCCGTGTGATGGAAGCTTTAGAAGCAGTAATGAACAAAGAAAAACCAAAAAGGCTGGCACAAACTTATAAAATAGCCTGGGACTGTTTTAAATTGTTATAAAACAATTTTATACTACTATAAAATTGTAGTAGAAAAAAAATAATAAACCTGGGAAGTATTACATAAGCTGTGGAGACATTGGGGCTTCCCAGGTGGTGACAGAGGTAAAGAATCTGCCTGCCAATGCAGGAGACATAAAGAGACGTGGGTTCAATTCCTGGGTTGGGAAGATCCCCTGGAGGAGGAAATGGCAACCCACTCCAGTATTCTTGCTTGGAGAATCCCATGGGCAGAGGAGCCGGACTACAGTCCATGGGGCACAAAGAGTTGGACACGGTTGAAGTGACTTAGCACACATATGGGGGCACTGTCTTTTTATTACACAAAAATATCAGTGAAACATCTAGAGAAATGTAGGGATGGATCTAGAGATTATACTAGTTTAAGAATTGCATATGTTATCTGTTGTGCTGTCTTTCTTAAGTATAAGAATTTTTAGTCACCTACAATCTGGGCAAAGCATTTTTAATCACTTACTGAAGATTTTATTTTTTTCCTCCGATAAACCCTTTTTTCTCCAAAGGTGGTATTTTTCACAGAATCGTCCTCCATCAATTAATCCCTCCTTAGCCAAACTAAAACAAGATATTTGTACAAAATATGTATGAGTACACTCAAACCTTTAAAATGGCCTTTTTTAGAAATAACTCTTATTTTTCTTTTCTAAGCCAAGCTGTTGTTATTTTCACAGTAAGAAAGGTACAACTAATCCCTTGGAGAGATTTAAATGTGGTACCCTAAGATTTAAGTTTTATTCAAAGTTAACACAAAACACATTATCAGATTTTTGTTTTCTTCCTTTATGCTAGCCTATTCCAATGGAAAATCCTTATAAGGAGCCTCTGAAAAAATGTATCTTGTGTGAAAAGCGTGTAGATTATAAGAATGTACAGGTGAGATCTGGTTTTACTTCACTGTGATACTTGATTTGGGACTTTTGCTCTTTTAAGAAGCAAGTTGGCTTTTATAATAGGCTTTGTGTAGGGGTGACTGTTTTGGCTTCGTAATTTCAAATCTGGTTATACTTTTATGTATAAGGCAGCTATTTTATGAAAATAGGAACCTCTTGGCTGTCCTTCACTTACTCTTAATCATCTCAGTGTCTCTTGTTTTTGCTTCGCCCCAAACCTCTAACAGTGGCTCCCTGTGGCAGTGATTCTCAGTCGCTGGAGTTGAGTAGTTAGGGAAAAGCTCCTGTGTTGAAGTTGCTATCTGTACCTCACCACCAGTATCACTATTTTGAATTCATTTTATCTGTTGTCGAGCACTCAGCAGATTAAAAGTGGCAAATTTGGGGAAGAAGATGGTGTTGGAGTTAAGTATACTGATAGTATAAAGTGATAGCTTCTTTGGTGGGAGAAAATCCAAGAAACTGTAAAATGCAAGTATTAGGATTAATAAAACATAAGTAACAGCAAATGGCCTGATATACCTGTACATCTTGAAGACCTCACTATAGTCTGATATTATGGGACTATCATGACAGATGGGATGTTCTATACCTTGTTATAAGCAGCAGTGCTTTAGAAGTTATCTATGGAGAAGTCAAAAAAACAGCTTTAGCACTGAAAGAACATGCTCATTAATCTGTTGTATAGACTTTTTTTGGACACACTGGGGAAGAGATGTTAACTTTCGCAATTACTTTAGTTACTTAAAAAAGATGACCTGTTAATAGAATGAACATAACTCAGTGTTTTTATCCGTATTTTTGAAGTTTGTCTAAAATTTATTAATAAGCCTTTTATAGCTTGAAGGTGACATAAGGTTTGTGTTTTGAAATGTACACAAGGTTGAATACAAGCATATTAACATAAAATTTTTTTCCTTTCCAAATATAACTCAAACCAGCTTTTATCCCAGTTTATTTCTCCATTTACTGGATGCATTTATGGAAGGCACATAACAGGTATTTTGTTTTCTATTACAGCAATTTAAATGTAGATAAGCCTACTTCTGTTATTTAAAAAAACGGGCAGATTTTCAAATATTGCCACAAATTACTATTAGACCAAAAACTATGGATACTTTGAGAAAGTCTCTTCTGAGGCTGAAAGGGTAATTATTTTGCATATCTTCTTATACTCAGTTAACTATAGGGTGACAACAGAGAGGACTCGGGCTTTGCTGTTCTGGAATACACTGTAGTCATCCTCAGGCCCTCATTTAAACCAGGGGCCTATTGCCTACAGGCCAGACCGGATCTGCCACTTGCTAAATAGCTTAGTTTCCACAATGTCTGAGCTACAAGAGCAGAATTAATGATGACAGAGATCTCGTGGCCCACAAAGCCCAAGGTACTTATTCTCAGGCTCTATACAGTTTTCCAGCCCTTCTGTGACATAACTGTCAGGCATTTTGAATGTTGGCATTTTTTTTATGAATAAGAAAGTATTTTCTTTTATAGGTCTTTGTGGGAAGAAACAAAAAGAAATCACAAAAGCAATTAAGAGAGCTCAAATATTGGGTAAGAGCATCTGAAAAACTGAATTATGCTCAACAAAATTTTGCTCATTGTCTTTTGTGAAGAACTTTCATTCTTTTTTCACAGGGTTTATGCCAGTTACGTACAAGGATCCTGCCTATCTCAAAGACCCTAAAGTTTGTAATATCAAATATAGGGAGTAAATTATATAAAGTTATTACCAATAAACATTTTGCAATAAGTGGTTGTGTGGTGCTAATACTGGCTCAAACTATAAGATTTAATAACCACTGAGTAGAAAAACAGGCTAAATCTTGTCAAACTATAATAAGTGTTTAATTCTTATAGTAATTTGGGATCATGAGTAAAAAGTGTTTCAGGAGTGAGGCTTCCTCTTCATCAGAATGCTCATTAGGTAAATCAGATTATTTAAAAAGTTAATACTTAAAAATAAAATAAAATGTTAATACTTGTCACATTTACATACACATATATTTTAAAATGTTAACACTTGTTACATTTAACGTACACATACATTTAAAAAATTGTTACCGTGGAGTCTTCACTTAAATCTGGCCCCCCAAACAGTTCATACAACACACTACTGACAGTGTGATGTCAAACACAGCAGGGCTGACTTGTACTGGAACTTGACTTTATTCCCAGATTTTTTGTTGTAAACAGGATTGTAGAGTATGGGTGCAGGGCAATGGGATGCCTGTGTAATGTACAAATCCCACAGGACAGGGTGTGGATTTGAAATTGTTAAGGAAGATTTCCTAACAAGCAGGTAAGTAAGCCTGATTGGGACCAGGCGTCTTCTCTCTGCAGATGTCACACGGGGATGGCCAGTGGTGCAGTCTGTCACAGGACCCAACACTCAGCTCTGGACTAGTCTATCATAAACTAGTAGTGTCCTCTAAGTAAGCCGATCCATACGCAATCTGTTCTACATCTCTTACTCCAGTAATACAAACAAATCCCCAAAAGACATAGAATGAGAAAAAAATGTCTAACAAGCATTCTTTTTCTCCTCATTCCCTGAAGGTTGGGACATCAAGCTTATTTTAAAATTAGGGCTCAGACAGAACCCTATTTCCTCTCCTGTCCTGTGCTGCTTAAGTAATCAGTGAAGCAATCCCAACAGCAACTCATGATTTGTACACATCATCCCAGGTACTATGTGGGCTCCATAAGCGCCCCACAGTAACTAATGTCTGTTAACACATAAATAAAAGATGACAGCAAATTCATAGCTAATATTAAAAAAACCATCACTTAGGAAGTCACTGATGGAAGAGCAATGTGTGGGTTCAGCATTTCACCCAGAGAGTAAAACATGAAGGCTTCATGTGATGTGTCTTCATGGGAAATTCTGTTATGGAAAAGACATGCAAAAACCAAACCATGAGAGTGCTCTTAACCTTCACTTAACCAACTCACTGAACAGGGGCTGTACATCCTCCTTAAAAACCACACAGAAGCCCACAACTGTTGAGTTCTGTATTACCAATAATCAGTTATTTTGTTCCCAGATCTTTGTCAGTTCAGTTCAATATTCTGTATTGATGAATATAAGCATGAAAAAGACATTACTATTGCAATGAAAACCAAGTAAAGTGCTTTGAGAAGACCTGATTAAAGGCAACTAACTTTAAAAAAAGTCAAATTAGGTGTGGTTAAGACAAATAAGATTGGGAGTGGGAAATGAAAAAACCCTAGTAGCCTTTTGTACTTAGGCTGCTTTGCAAACGTCTTTAAAGAAACTAAAACTGGGGCTTACCTAAGTGATGGGTGTGATTCACATAGGAACTCCAGTAGTGTTAGTTGTTCGGGTGTGTTCGACTTTTTGTGGCCCCATGGACTGTAGAATGCCAGGCTTCTCTGTCTGTGGCATTCTCCAGGCAAGAATACTGGAATGAGTATTCTTCCCTTCTTCAGGGGGTCATCCCAACCCAGGGACTGAACCCAGGTCTCTCGCACTGCAGGCAGATTCTTTACCATCTGAGCCACCAGGGAAGCCCAGGAACTCCAGTATAGTCATAAAAATGTTCCTGGCCCGACAAAAGTTTGAGAAATGAATGTGTGCTTCTGCTTTATGTTAAAATGAAATCTCTGTGATAGACACCATTCATATTTATATGTATCATTTGAGTCCCACTTAATGGGCTTTTTCACCTAACTGAACAAGTGCTGATCCAAACACACTGCCTTACCAGGCTTGTTCTGTACTCAAAATTCTGGACTGATTCAATTTAAAGTATTTTATAAAATAAGTGCACTAGAACTTCCCTATGTGTTACTGCAGAGCTGAACACAGTAAAAAAACAAAACAAAACAAAACAAACCCCACATCCGGCTTTCCCCTTCAGCTGATCAAAAATCTCCTTTTGGCCCAAAAGAATCAGAAGGTAGGAGACTCTGGATATTCACCAGAACCCTTCATTCTCTCAAACTCTTCATCTGTTTCTGGGCTGCTCACTGTGGATGCTTTTTCTTGGTTACTACTATTGCTGTCTGTTTTAGAGGGTCTGGTCTGTATCTCTCCTAGCCGTGACTTCTTGAACTGCCACCCATCATCCGTGTCTGAGGCTTTCCGCTTGGTCACCGGCAGGGCACTGCGAGCTGGACTAGCTTCAGGAAAGTCTGCGTATTCCACCATCAGGGTTAGGTTGTCTACCCCACCAAGAGGGTGGGTGGTAGTACAGTTACTTCCAGAAATGCGCCTATTTTTCAAGGAGATAACACATGAATGAAGAAGTTCACAATCCGGAAAAAAGGTCCGTAAAGCTTGACAAAGCAAAACGTTCTCCTGAGGGTCTTTTTCGACATTCTTCTCTCCTAAACAAGCAAACAAACAGTTCAACATACAGGATCTGTACTACAAAGCTCCTGTATTTATTTGTAAGTAAACGCAAAAGTACTTTAAAGAATTCTACCAGATTACCTACATTAAGAAAAACAACAATCCCAAATTTGTATGTTACACTATGCTAATAGAAAATTAAAGTTATATTTCTTAATGTCAAGATAGTATAGCTGCAGTTGTACCATGTTCTTTGCTGGGTGGGGTTTTAAGAATATTAATAGAAGTTATTTTTAATCCTCAGGTGGCAAGTTCATCAGCCAGTACAATCACCTCATCCATAATTCCAATCAGTGAGAATTTTTCTTTAAAGCAAAGAAAGTAGTGATAACATGAACTTTTTACTTACGTGTTGCTTGCATCTGTGCTTGTTTTCTTTTTTTAATTTCTCCTTTTAATCTATTTACATCATTTAGTAGTTTTTCTACAGCTCTCTCACTGTGTTCTACTTTTTCACATATACTCTGCAAAGTAAAATAATTTAAGGGCATAGCTAAACTTTCAAATTGTTACTACAGTCTAGGTTCACAAATAATACAAAATCCTATATCATTGATTATTTCCCTTTAACATTTTATTTTTCAGTTTTCTGAAGGAATAAGTTCCCACTTATACAGTTTTATCATTCAAGTTATTTCCTAGATAATACACAGAAAAAAGATATTTAACTTGCTTTGAAACAAATTATTTTGAGATGCATAGTTACTGCAAACATGTAACATTAAGAAACAATAAATATGAAAAAAGTAAATTGTTTTACTATTAGAAAATAAAACTGATGATTTTAATTCCTGTAAAGCTATTTATGAAATGCAGAATGGTCTTAAATGTGTCATCAGTTTTTAAGTACTAACACCCTTTGATTCAGTGATTTCATTTTGGGAATATATCTTAAATAAGAAAAATTTATATATGATGATGGATCTCAAAATAGTATCAAAAATAACTAATTTCCAACTATAGTGGAGTAAGCCTGTTTTCGTGCATACTTTATGGCACTTCTCCACCCAGCGTATTTCTCATGAACTTACGCATCCTGCCCTCAGAGTTCACCAGCAACCTTTCACCAACCCGACCCAAGCAGAAATACTACAGCAGCCAACTGGCCAAGTCCTAATCTCTCGAACAGTGGAGATCTAAATGCAGAGGCTATAGGTTAGCTGCTTTCTCGTCAGCCAGTGGGTGAGTAAACAAGATTCGTAGAGACTGAAGGAAACCAGCGTGCAGACACAGGAAGTCCAGATGGCATTCAAGCTCTGGACCAAGGCTCAGTGACCGGCCGTCTTCCTCTCACAGACCTCTCCATTCCCTAAATTAGCCCAAGTTGGTATTTTTAACACAAGAGCTCTAATATACTGCTCTAAGAAATATACTATTAAAAGGAACTAAAATATTAGAAATTACTTAATGATACATCAAATAAAAATCATGATACAAATTTCTATGTCCCCATCACTGTCCACAGGATAAAAGCATATTTGTTAGGGGAAAGCTGAAGAATGTAGCAAAGTGCAAACAGTTCAGTTACAATGGTAAGACTCTTGACGTTTCTCTATTTTCTAAAGTTTCTGTAATGTTATATTAAAAAAAAGGAGTACAATATTACTAGTGTGTAAAATGTATTAACCCCATTTCTCTTGGTGCGCTATCCTGAGTGTGGTGGGCACGGAGCATGCTACTCAGATCCCCATCTGCAGGAAGCAGAGCTGACCGACGGCTCCTGCTGCTACCCTTTTAGTTCCACTACTGTGTTCGCGCTTAGGTCACGCTCCCCCCGGGCCTCCCTTAGCCAGTGACTGAGCACAGTGAGGATATGACAGTCTGTTCCTATAGGACACCTTTGCTCAAGTCTCTGCATCATCTGGCTGAAGTTTTTCTGGCCATGTAGTCCACAGCTCTTCCTATCCCCCTCACCCTTCTTCCCTGTCTCCTCTCAGGTGTCAGACTTAACATGCCAAGTCTCCCCGCCACTCTTGGGCCCTCCGCTTTATTCTTCAGAGGCCTAACAAGCCACTTGCATGTCTGAATTCCCGTGCTGACGTCTACCTCTCAAGGGACCTGAGTGGACACAGTGAGACAACTCAGTACTGTGGCAGACTGTTCTGTTCTCAAATATTTGCTCCCCCTTTTATCCTATAAAAGGGTCATATATCCCTGCCTACTACCATGGCATCCTCTGGTCAGTAAAATATGAGTGGAGGTGATATGCCAGCTCCGAGCAGAAGTTCTAAGAGCTGCTGTCAATTTCCACCTGTTTTACTGCTCTTTTCCCTGTCATAGAGGAACTTGCCCCACATTAAGGGCTGGACCTCAGAATGAAGATGACATTTAGGAGAATGCAGCCAAGACACAATGTGAATGAACTTTTATTTCTGTAGGTCACTGAGGTGGAGGTCTTGTTAATGAAGCTAAACTGATACAAAAACTTATGTCTAGTCAACTATGAAGCTGTCCCAGAGTACATATCCAGTGATCAATGTGATATGAACTAAGATTTAAAATTTTTTTAATTGGAGGATAATTCATTGCTTTACAATGTTGTGTTGGTTTTTGCCATACAACAATGTGAATCAGCCATAAATACATGTATGTCCCTTCTCTCTTGAATCTCCCTCCCACCCCCCCACCCCCATCCTACCCCTCTAGGTTGTCCCAGAGCACCAGATTGAGCTTCCTGTTATATAGCAACTTCCCATTAACTATCTTCCCACTAGCTATCTGTTTTACATAATGGGACTGTCTATTTCAGGGCTAATTTGTCAATTCGCCCTACCCTCTCCTCCCTGCACCCCTCCCCCGCCGTGTACACAAGTCTGTTCTATAAGAGATCTTTAAATGTTTAACTTACCTTTAATTCATCTTGTAAAGAGGTATACATTTCATTTATCTTCTGTACCTCCTTTAAAGATCCATCTTCTTTAAAAAATTCAGAGCTGTAAAAAAAATTACCATTTCTTCCAGGCAAATGTACAGAACTCATTTTAATAATACAATGAAAAAACTTCTATGTAGTTGAGGAATAATGGAAGACTGTTTTTATTGGCTTTGCAGGGATCATAATTTTGTTAACCTGTTTGTATACAGCAAAATCAACCAGGAAACCTAGTTCATCTATCTTCACCTCAGCAAACTTTTTAGCCTCCTAAATACTATTTCCAGGACTCAAAAAGAGAGGTTAAGTGAAAGTAGATAAAGACTCAAGGAGAGGGGTAGAGGAGGGATCTGTCTTGGCAATGCCATCAGTCAGTTATTTCACTAAGTTCAAGCCATCACTGATTGAAAAAGGCAACATTATATATATATACTATATATATAAAAAAGAAAAACAATTCTAAGGCATATTTTATAAAACCCCCGATTGAGATATATAAAACTTTATGTCTTAAAAATCAGTGAAACATGGTATTCAATTTCAATAAGACACTGTTAAGCACTGTGGGAACACAAAAATAAATAAAATCAAGTTCATTAGTCTCATAAAATTTACATTTAGTAAGTACCCTACAGTACCAGTGCTGTCATTCCTGACATTCATTATTCCCTTACTACTCACAAAACTTACAGTTCCACAGTTGACACTGTGAGTTTTGACTAAAGCCTTATTTTTCTTTATTTAATATCCAGTCTTTTTGCCTTTATAATGTGAATTGCTATCTTAGAAAATTATTTCATTTTTATTATTATTATTAGCTCCTTAATCTGAGTAAATATGTCACAATATGTAGGCTGTACACTACCACTCCCCTTTCGTATTTGATAAATGGACACATGCTGGAAGGAAAGAGAGAAGTTAAAGGTCTGGTTTACTTGAGTAAACTTCAGGAATGTGGCCATTAGTCAGTTTTCCTTTCATTTTTATTCTCTTTGTAATAAAAAAAATTAACTTCAAAAAATGAATAGGAGTTAAGTTTAGTGGGAAAGCAGTTGCGGAATCTCACCTGTGTGTTTTTACTGCTCGACTGAAACCAGCCGATGCACAGGAACCAGATGAAGTTTTATAACCCAGTTGTTCGGACATGCCCAGATTGGCCACCACTAAAGGTATCCTATGAAAAAGTCTGAAGAAATAATTTTTAAAATATATTTTAAATAAAGTGAAAGGCTAGCATCTAGTTATTAGTATAGACTGCCTTTTCCCTACACGATTTAAAAACAAACAAAAACCCCATTTCTTACTACTTACCCAAGAAAAATGTATTGGGGCAAGTAGTTTTTAAAAATTGTCAGATGTACATAGTGTACAATTATTGTGTGAAAAAATACTTTAATGGCTATTTTAACTGATTACCACATGTGAAAATAAGGTATTACCATTGCAATTCTTCCCATCTTTCGTGAATGATATAAATTACTGTTTATTGGTACTCTGAACTTCATTTTCATACTCCATGAAAATGCTGTCTGTATTTCCTGAGGAGAGTCCTATTAACTCATTTTGCTGGATCAACAAGAAACACTGTTTCCTGGCAGAGGCTAAGAGAAAAGCTGCTCAGGTACACAGTCTTCAGTACTACATTACATTCCTTAGCAACCGACACCTAAAGCGTGCATATGCTTTCCACCTTATGGCAACTAACAGCGAATTCTCAGTGTCAGAAACACAAGGCATCATTCCACTGTTGTTTAGTTGCTAAGTCGTGTCCAACTCTTGTGACCCCAGGGACTGTAGCCCACCAGGCTCCTCTGTCCATGGGATTCTCCAGACAAGAATACGGGTGTGGGTTGCCATACTGGACTTCTAATTTCCTTATCTGACCTTCATTTTCCCATCTATAAAGAACCAATGTTAAAACAGATCAAAAAGAATTATTGTGACAATCTAATGCCAATACATAAAAACAGTAAGCCATAAAAAGTACAATGAAAATACTGAGCACATTTTTCTGTTATCTGAAAAGAGCCAGTAACTGGCCAACATTTACCCTTTCTGAGGTTTATATAAGGCGTGCTCCAGCCGATGAGTAGAGCAGCTTTCTGTTATTATACTTGGTGTTAGTAACAGAAAAACAAGTTCCCGGCTTGAAAGATGCTGCTGTAAGTTTTTGTGAAGCAGTCTCTCTCTAAATGTCATGATCTGGTCTGAATGACGTCGGAATTTGTACCAACCAACCACATCCTGAAAGAAAATAATATATCAGGTGTACACCTTCATGGTTACAATTATTATGTCTTACTGTCACAATTAAGTAGTGAAACTGACAATCTTAAAAATGGCTTTCTTAATATTCAGCAAGATTTGGGGCCTAAATAAACAGAACATACACTTAAGAATATGCTTTAACCTTGTATAGAGTGTGCAAACTGACTTGCAGTTAAATTACTTCCCATTCAGTTACAGGGCTACAATTTTATTCAATATGGATTAAAGGAAAAATTCTTAACTTCCTCTAGTTCTCTGATGGCATTTTCTATCTTAAATCTTAATCTTTAGTCAAAATTTAAAAGAAAATGTCAATGAAAACTAATTAACTTCTGTCTGGATCCTTGGTTTGCTAAGGAAGTAAACTGAAGCCAATAGCTTTTAATTGAAATTTATACAATAGGCATGTTATCACAGACTTCGTTGCAAGATTAAGACCATATGAAAGGGTTTTGTAAATTATGCTAAACAAATGTGTTGTTAGTATCACTAAACCTTTTTCTTCAAACTGGAAAAAGTCTCATTTACTGGAAACTTAGTACTAAAAGAAAAACTACCACTTTGGAGATCTCTGACAGTTTCAGCAACTAATTTTTTAACATTTGCATGTGTAAATTGAGGAAATAAAAATTACTTTAACAAAAACATTTCTACAAGTACATTTTTAAAAATTTATTTTTAACTGAAGGATAATTGCTTTATAATATTGTGCTGTTTTCTGCCTCACAGCAACATGACTCAGCCATAGGTATACATACACCCCCTCTCTCTTGAACCTCCCTCCCTCCCGCCTCCCATCCCATCCCATCCCACCCCTCTAGGTTGTTACAGAGCCTGGGTATGAGTTTGCTGAGTCATACAGCAAATTCCCATTGGCTATCTATTTTCAATACGGTAGTGTATGTGTCCATGTTATTGTTTCCATTCATCCTACACTCTCTTTCCTCCCCTCACCTCCGTGTCCATAAGTCTGTTCTCTATGTCTGAGTCTCCACTGCTGCCCTGCAAATAGGTTCATCCGTACCATCTTTCTAGATTCCATATATATAATTAATATATGATATTTATTTTTCTCTTTATGACTTACTTCATTCTGTATCACAGGCTCTAGGTTCATCCACCTCATTAAAACTGACTCAAATGCATTCCTTTTTATGGCTGAATAATACTGCACTGTATATATGGACCACAGCTGCTTTATCCATTCATCTGTCGATGGACATCTTGGGTTCCTCCATGTCCGAGCTATTTACAGGTGCATTTTTAAATGCCCAAATGTAATTGGAGGAAAAGCTCAAGCACTTTCAACAAGGGATGCTTTTTGAAAGAAACTTCCTTTACTAAATCTACTTTTATTCTTGACTAAAAGATCAAGACGTTTTAAGGGGAAATAAGTACCAAGAAAAAAATATTGTCTTTGAACAAAAATGTTTTTTGATCATTCAGCAAGTTTTAACTGAACACCAAGCAGGCTGGGGAGGATCCAGGTGAGGTGCTGTATGGGAAACCATCTCTCCAATAGGAGAAACTAACTACAGCCATGGAAAAGGACGGCAGTGGCGTGAGTCTGTAATAAGTGGTGTGGGAAGTGGCATGGTGGGGGTGGAGAAAAGGGAGACACTAGGTAAGCCAGAACAGCCAGGAGAAGGAGAGAACAAGATGAAGATTCTTCGTGACTAGCTTTGCTTTCAGAGAAACCCCTCTGAATTTCTGGAAAGAACAAGCTGTTCCTCACCTGCTTTATAGAAGACACTGTGAAGACAAATGCTGGTTGAAAGTTCTGTCAAAGTATTACACATTTTCAGGAGCTTAAAATAATACATATAATACAAAAAGAGAAAGGGTAAATCAGGGAATACCTTCTTGACATTTGATAATATTTTCTTCAGTGCCTGCTCATTTACTTCACCGGAAGAATTATAAAAGCTGTAAAAGGCAAAATTAAAGGCATTTGAAATAAACTAAAAATAGGCATGATTTTATCAGCACTTTTAATTTTAGTTATTCTAGCCCAACAACTCAACATTCATAGACTTACTTACCTGTGAGATGAAGTTCTAAAATAAATAGGAGAGAAAGTTCTCAAATGAACAGACTTAAAAGTGGTAGTAATATGTGGTCCATAAGCAATTAAAAAGGAAAAGGAATGGAGAAACTTCAAGGGATAAGTATGGGCACCACATTTTTTTTAACCTAAAACAAAACAAACTATCCATTAAATACAGGTATTTGTAAGTTCACATAGCTAGTCACAATTTACATACTAAAACTTTTTTTTACAATAATGACACATACAAAAGAATGTGTAATGAAGCAAAACAAAACAATTTATTCATTGCTAATTCCAAAAGCTACACTTAAATTAAGAGAAGTGCTTTGGGAGTTGGTTGTCTTCTGGGGGAGTCGGGGAGGGGACAGGTATTAGTTTAGTGATCTCTGTTCTGTAGCTGGAATGTTAAATATAGATAGGAAATGTAGGGAGAACTGAGAAGTATTTCTACAAGATTCTAAAGCATTGACTTCCAACTTTCTTTCCCCTCCAGGGCTGGCAAATATCTTCCTCCTTTTTAACTTCCATCAAGATCAACAATGATGAGATATCTGTTATGCCAAATTCCTGACAAATACTATTCACTGTAATAGGCTTTTACTGGTAACTCTAGTCTGTACACTGAAAAAATTTAGCTACATAAAAGTGAAAAAATATATCATAATAGGCAATATGCTTTTTCAACTTACAAAATAGACAAAATAAAGTGTTCTACCTCTAAAGGGGAATAGTTCAACTCATTGAACAGACTCTTCCATCTCACCTATTCATTCCAACATGAAAAATCTAAATACAAGAGTTTATTCCTGTGTTTTCTCTAGGATGATTCACTTCTGAGCTTCTCAAACTGGGGACAAGGCAACATACCAGTGTAAAAGAAAGAGCAGGACAACAGTGTACATCTTCTGTGCAAGCACTAATTTATGTGACGCTTTTGGGAAGGGGGGCATTTTTTGTAGAAATACATTGTGCAGTAGAATCCATGTTAAACTGCTTAATTTTTTTTTAAGTGATTTTCAGTTTCAGGCTTCAATGGGCTGTTTTCCAGATTTCCCCCAGATTTCTGAGTTAAGAGAATCATTGTATTTCAGTAGCAAGCTTTAAGAAACAACATATCAGAGCAGTGTTGATAAATTTTCGCTGTAAAAGGGCCAGAAAAGTATCTTAGGCTTTGAGGAACAGTCTCTGTTACATATTCGTCCGTCATTTTAACTCTTAAAAAATATATCATTTATGGACGGCCATATTATTTATGGGGCCACAGTTTGCCACCCTGTCTATTAGAACACAAAACTGAGTACGAAGGCTTATCCAGCTCGGGTTCCATGAAGTATGGTACTGAAAGGCTGTTTTTAACATGTGCACCTATGTCATTTAAAACCAGAGAGAAACAGGACAGCATGCTGTGGGATTAGAACTTAAGAAATCCAAATTCCTCTAGTTTTGCCCTACTGCTAACCTGTTAGTTATTCCATCCCCTGCCCCACAATTCTGTAAACCTAAAAGGCTGAGGCATGGGTTCCTTATCACTGGATCAGATAGCGTCCTCAGCTCTAAGACTATTAAAAGCTGGTCTAATTATGCAAAGTGGTTGCCAGGAGATACTGAATCACTTTTTCCCCCCCTATTCTCCCTCCTTAATCCATTCCTGCCCCAGAGTTCTTCAAGAAAGTACTCTTTATGAATCTCCACCAAGAGTCCCTCGTTCCAAAGGTATTTTCTCATACCCATTGTATATTAGGCAACAGAGAGGAGCTGTGCCCCTTCCCAGTACAGTTCAAGCCACACTAGGCCTCCAGGGGTGGTTCTCACCTTAACTCTGCTCCACTGCAACCCTCACACAACCTCGGAAACGGTGCATACAGTGTGACTCTAAGACATTACCATTTACATAAACCATAAAGCTATTTCACCAAAACCACACCTTATTGTTTTATGGTTATAGTTGCTTACTTTATGGAAGTTCACTGATTTGTGTACTTTTCTATGCATTATAAACCTCAATGAAAAGTTTTTAACAACATCACAGCTTATCAGGGCTAAGAATACTACTACTATCTGTAGGGTTAAGAGTGTAGGTTTCCACCCTTGAAAAACAACAGGAAGCAGGCTAGATAAAGAACCGAACCAGTTAATAGACAAAAGGTAACATTAAAAAAACAGAAGTGAGGAAACAGATGATAAAATAAACTGGAATAAAAAGGTAGGAAAAAAGGGCTGCTGTTGATGCATGAGAAGTGTCACTGAGTTTACAGTATGTGATGAGGTGATGGGTGGGAGAAGGAAAAGCAATCCTCAAGGTAAACTGGTACCTGGGAGAGGCAGTGAGGACCAGCTGAAGGAAGCAGGTAAACACAGAGAAAGAACTATTAGACAGGGCTGAAATGAAGAGGTGCATTTTCAGGTATTTAAAAAGTCTTTATTTTAATCTGTACCACCATGTATAACTTGTAACTAAGATACTTTGTTAGTTTTGAAGATTCACTTGCAGATAATAATTCTCACGATGGATTTCTCACTTGCCCTTACTACTCACCTAAAAAGCTGATAGCATGAAATGTATTTCTGAATGTCTGGGGAAAAAAAAAAGAATGTTTAGTTATGATTACATTAATGATCACTTGAATAACATTTATCAAGCATTTCATGCCAGGATTTATATTACTGTTATCTCATTTAATCCTGACAACAAACCCACGTGATAGATGTTATTATTCCTTCCATTTTAAAGACGAAGCAACAGGCAGAGAGATTTCAACCCAGAGGCTCACTCGTGACTAGAATGCGATATTCTTTCTAACTAGGTTTAACAATGGCTACACAAAAGACAAGGTCACAGGTGCTATTTTCACTGAGTTCTGAAACAGTTATGCTCCAATTTTACCCAACTGATAAAAGTAGCTGTTCAAGGAATTATCTGTTATTCCAACTGGTTGTTTCATAAAGGATTTGTCAGTGTTAATTGTAGACTAGAGAAAAAATGTTCAACATCTCTAAAGAGGTGAGTCTTATTCTCCTGTCTATAGAAATACTACATCTAAATACATATAAATTCTGGTAGTTGCAGATGCTGTGCAAACATTAGATTCTATCATATGAGACATCATTACAGATCGCATATGAAGCAATTCATAAAGAGGTATGAAGATGAACATGGTGTTTCCTCTATCATTCCAAACCTTCAGGTCCCTTAAGATTCAGGAGGGAACAGTGAAAAGAGCAAAAGACTCACATATAATCACACAGAAAGTCATCAAGACAATACAAGCTCTTCCAGGCACCCCATCTTTCTGTGTTTGTCAGAGAGCATTATTAACAGGATCACTGTAACAGTCATCACCGACCTCACACAGTTCCTCTGACATTTCTTCTCCTCAGGGAGATACTAGCCAGACTACCTGAAATTTCCTTAGTCACTTAAATCAAAGACATCAGTCTGATTATGGAGAATTTGTGAGTCTTCATCTATATGAGAAAACCCAACACCAAACTGCTGTAGAAGAATTTTTCAAGTAAATATCTGTAGGTTGTACTTTTTTCACTTATCAAACTGGGCTTCCCTGATGGCTCAGAAGTTAAAGCATCTGCCTGCAGTGCAGGAGACCCAGTTCGACCCCTGGGTCGGGAAGATCCCCTGGAGAAGGAAATGGCAACCCACTCCAGTCTTCCTGCCTGGAGAATCCCATGGACGGAGGAGCCTGGTGGGCTACATTAGTCCATGGGATCACAAAGAGTCGGATGTGACTTCACTTTATTTTCTTTCAACAGTGATAAGGCCTGACCTCTGAGCTTCCCTGGCGGCTCAGACGGTACAGAATTTGCCTGCAGTGCAGGAGACCTCGGTTCGATCGCCGGGTCATGAAGATCCCCTGGAGAACGGAATGGCAACCCACTCCAGTATTCTTGCCTGGGAAATCCCATGGACAGAGGAGTCTGGAAGTCGCAAAGAGTCGGACAGGGCTGAGTAACTAGCACTCCAGTTATTTAACCAATAAGTTTTTTTAGTTCTTATCTTCCAAATTTTCTGCAGTTTACGTTTTACTCCAACCTGTTTTACCTTTTCTCTCTTGGTCTTGCTTATTCGTTCCTTCTTTTGCTGGACCATCTTCCTGCCACTTACGTGTATGCAGGAACTATGTTTCATCCTTGTCTCCTGACAAGGAGAATCTTGTCATCTTAATCTACTTCCTGTGTCTCACACTGTTTCTTGCTTTAGGGTATAGCCATAACTTTAAGAAATGAGTGCAATATATTGTTCTAAAATTTGCCTTTAAAAATTCTTATCTATTCCTTAACAACTTTAAAGTAACTTATGCTGATCCCTTTCAGCATAAACTATCAAAATAGGAGACACAGAAATAAGTGACTCACCAATTGTATAAATAACTTCAACATCATCCATCTGGGAATCAGTTATGCTGTTCTTGGCTTCACCTTTCACTTCCCCAAGGAGAAAACCTTCCTAGGATAAGAATAAGCAGTATATGGAATACACCAATAGGATTACCATTCAGTCACTTAATTAACCGTTATTTCCCGAGACTTTTACAACATGTGCAAGTGTGTGCTACCAACTGGGGTATACTCAAAAGACCAGGTGCATTCCAGTTTACATGGGACACATGACCAGTTTTAAAAACATGGGTGAAAGTAAAGTGCAGTCGCTCAGTCATGTCTGACTCTTTGAGACCCCATGGACTGTAGCCCACCAGGCTCCTCAGTCCATGGAATTTTCCAGGCAAGAGTACTGGAGTGGGTTACCATTCCCTTCTCCAGGGGATTTTCCCAACCCAGGGATGGAACCCAGGTCTCCTGCACTGCAGGCAGACAGACACTTTGCCGCCTGAGCCGCCAGGGAAGCCCAAAACATGGTTAGAAGAGACTAAATACCACTGTGACTTTAGCACTCTAGGAAGCACAAAAGGCTTAAAGCCAGAAATGAACGCACAATGTTTGAGGAAGGAAGAGCAGCAGTTAGCCTTAGAAAAGAAGACTCCCATTTGTAAGTGAAAGTCGCTCAGTTGTGTCCTGACCAGTTGCGTCTGACACTTTGCGATCCCATGGACTGTAGCCCACCAGGCTCCTCTGTCTGAATTCTTCCGTCCAGGATACTGAAGTGGGTAGCTGTTCCCTTCTCCAGGAGATCTTCCCAACCCAAGGATCAAACCTAGATCTCCCACATTGCAGGTGGATTCTTTACCAGCTGAGCCAACAGGGAAGCTACATTTGTAAGGAAAGTTTACAGAGTCTGTCTGCCAATACCAGAGACACGGGTTCGATCCCTGGGTTGGGAAGATTCCCTGGAGAAGGAAAATGGCAACTGGCTCCAGTATTCTTGCCTGGGAAATCCCATGGACAGAGGAGCCTGGCAGGGTACAGTCCATGGGGTCACAAGAGTTGGACACAACTTATCGACTGACCCACCACCCATCTCTAAGAAAATCACAGGTAGAAAGAACAGTGCCAATAATTGACCATCCCAAATGACTAGCCCGACCATCAATGGCACGGGCTTCTGAGAGTCAGTGATGGCTTCTGTGCTATGAAATGACACAAGATGGGCTTTTTAGATTAAGAACTGTGCTCATTATTAATGATCTGGAAATCAATATCAGAGTCTGCTTTATAAAAGAGGAGCTTGGTTCTTTTTAAGATGTAGGCATCTTGCCACAACAGCAGTGACTTCTGTGAATTTCAAAAAATTCAATTATTTCTCTTGGTACACTTAGAGACCCAATGTGCTTGACAATGAATTTTTAATCTTTATAATTAGTTAAGACTACTTTTAAAAATTCATTAAAAGAAGAACACAAAGCA